AATGGCGTGTCGTCTATTTCCGGTGTAGCAAACGTAGTACATAGGGCGACATCTAGATGTCATCTACCTCGCCCTATTCACTATGCTTTTTTATAGGAGCTTTTCAAAGCTTTGCTTTATGATGTCGGACACACAACATTGAAAGCTTCTGGAACACAACATTGAAAGTTTCTGGAACACAACATTGCAAGTTGATAAAAGCGTTGTAATGAAGATCCTTGGCGTAACTTTTACAAGAAACCTCTTATGGAACGACCATATAAAAATGGTTACAACAAAACTTAGTAGTGTACATAACTTACTCAAAGTAATATGCACAAAAAAAAGGGACCTCATATTGAAACAGCACTGAACATATGCCGATCACTATCAGAGGGAGTAGTACAACACTGCATCACCCTCTATGGACACACCTCTGAGGCCAACAAAAATAAAATAAACGTAGCTTTAAACTCCTGTTTCAAAAAAGCAGCCGGATTGCTGATGTCGACGCCAATACAAGCTGCCAGAGTGGAAGCACGCTACGATGATTTTCAATGGTTAGTCCACAGTCGATCAGCAAAATTAGCAGCAAAGGCCATCACAACAGACACTCATGCTCTACACGAAGCTTTCTGGAACGGGCTAACAAGCCGTCGACTTACCAATAAAAGCTTTAGAAGCACCTGCGGAGTTCAGGCTATAACCAAATACCTGTTGGACACCCATACGCCTATACCACCAAAACCACCAGACAAGCTTTCACCACATGTCAACTTGTCAATCGACACTTCAATGAGTTGCTTTAAAAAAGACAATACTCCGGCGACAGTGTATAACACATCTTTGCTGGCTTACAAAGCAGACCACCCCTCTGATGTATTTTACTATACTGATGGATCTCTACTTGAAGGAACGCCGTCATACGGTGTAGTAAAACAGCTTCCAGATGGAACTTTCCAAACAATACGTCAAGCCCTACTCTCTCCATATGCTGGGATCTTCAACGCTGAGTTAGCTGCAATAAAATTCGCTGTCCACCACGCTGCAAAATCCAACAGACCAGCCGCCATCCTCTGACAGTTTGAGCGTACTAAAATCAATAGCAGATAGAAACAGCGATTCACGAAGGTACATACTGAGTGGTGCAAATATAAACAATGAAATCCAATTATTATGGATTCCAGGACACATGGGAATACCAGTCAATGAACTAGCAGACAAAGCCGCTAAACAAGCATTTAGCATGCCACTTGTGGCTGAGATTCCTTGCCTGACAACCGCCATAACAAACTTCCAAAGATCGCATCTCAGAACAATAAGAGACAGATTATGGGAAGCCTCCAACTGCTTTCTACGAACGCACAACAACGAGTACGGCCGGCCAAACTACCACGAAAGTATCACTCGGGGAAACTGCATCTTGATAGCCAGAATGAGAGTAGGTGTAACGATATTTACATCTGAGCACTACTACAATAATAGCACGCAACAGCAATGCAGTCATTGCAATACAACATTAACTATAAAACATATTCTAACGGATTGCCCTATATCAGGATCCAACACTAACTTGGCCACAGCTCTGGACTGCAGCAAAGAGAATACAACAAAACTGCTAACAGATGCCCTCAAGAAACACAACCTACTGCACAAAGTGTAAAAGATCTTGCGAGGCGAAATGGCCTAGTAGCCGAGCCTCCGAACTATATTTTATAAATTAATTTATAAAATATAAATTAAAATAAATAAATAAATAAATAAATTACTATGCGATTAATAACGTGGTATATAACGTAAAGAATGGCATATGAATATCGCTAATATGCAAATGTGTTGGTTTTTATTGACAGTTTTGTAAGTGTATTGGAGAATGCGTTAGGTTGTTGTTGTTGTAGCGGCTACTAAGCCCCGTTCGGGACGGTTCATCCATCATCGTTGTCGTCTATTTCAGCTAAGGGGAGGCCCAGGAAGTGTGCGACTTCCACAGGGGCTGTCCATAGGGACAGGGGCGTTAGCCGAGTGGGATTCACGGGGCATGTGATGAGGTGCCGGGAGTCATGTGGCGACTCTCCACATGCCGGGCATTGGTTGGGCACATCCTCGTTGATTCTACTCAGGTAGCTGTTGAGCCTGCTGCAATAGCCAGAGCGAAGTTGGGCTATTGTTGTGCGGGTCTCCCGAGGCAGACAAAGGTCTGTCCCGTCCACGTCCGGTGGTTGTGTGCCTAGGACGGCATTCACAGGGCGGGAGTCTACATAACTTGAGACTGATTCCCTGTGAATGCCGTTGAGGGCCTGTCGGTAGGTTGTCGGGTCCAGAGGTTGTTTAATATACCTCTGGACTTCGTCTGTCAGTTCGTAAAGATGCTTCCTGACGTGCCGTGGCGAGGGCTCTTCCGCGAGCAGTTGCCCGCTGGGATGGCCACGTCTGTAGCTCCCAGCGAGGAACTGCTTGCAAAGCATTAAGTTATGCTCCTTTACCGGGAGCATCTGGGCCTCGGCGTGAAGGTGATGTAGAGGCGTCATCAGGAGGCATCCTGTCGCGGTACGTAATGCCGTGTTTTGGCAGGTCTGCAGCTTCATCGACTGCGTCCTGCTAGTCCCCGGCGACCATACGGGCGCTGCGTAGTTCAGAACCGGCCGGCCAATTGCCTTGTATGTTGCCAACAACGTTTCTTTATCTTTGCCCCAAGTGCTGCCGGCCAGCGACTTGAGGACATTGTTGCGGCTCTGTACTTTGTTGACGATTGCGGTTGTATGCGCCGAGAAGGAGAGCAGACTGTCGAAGGTTACTCCGAGGATTTTCGGGTTATTCACCGTCGGTATTGTTACGTCATCGAAGTGAATGCAGTGAAGAAGCGAGAAAGTTCGGAGAGGTAACCGTTTACTTTTGAGCACAAGTCATCAATTCCATTCCCAGACGCCATGATCGAACAATCGTCAGCATATGAGACTATATTAACACCCTCTGGTGGCTGAGGAAGCTTTGATATGTAATAATTAAACAGTAGCGGGGACAGGACACCACCCTGTGGTACCCCCTGTTTAATTTTACGTGGCATGCTGGTTTTGTCTCTGAAGATTACTGACGAGTGTCGACCACTCAGGTAATTCGCCGACCACCGTTTGAGTCCCTGTGGGAGTGAGGAGGCCTCTATATCTTCTAGTAGCGTTGAATGACTGACAGTGTCGAACGCTTGGACAGGTCCAACGCTACTAGAATAGTTCTCTCACAGGGGCGGTTTCGGTTTAGGCCACGAGTTATCTGAGTGTTTATGGCGTTAAGTGCTGTTGTTGTACTATGCACTTTACGGAACCCATGTTGATGCTTCGCTGGGGTCAGGTGGTTCGTGAAGTACGGGAGCAGCAGGGCCTCGAGTGTCTTCGCTACCGGGGAAAGGAGAGTTATCGGGCGATAAGACTCTCCTTTGTTGGCTGGTTTCCCCGGTTTGAGCAGTGGGACCACTCTCCCCATTTTCCAGATGTCTGGAATGACGAGAGTGGCCATAGACAGGTTGAGGACCTCCGTTAGGTACGCTACTCCCGCAGGACCCAAATTTTTCAGCATCAACATGCATATTCCGTCGGGTCCAATGGCTTTGGAGGCTTTCGCCTTCCCGATGGCTACCCTTACCTCACCGCTGGTGAAAACAAGAGGCGCACTAGGTTTTGGCATTTTGTGCAACCTTCTGGTCACTCGACGTTTGGCTTTATAGACCGGAGGATGCAGAATGAACTGCCGGCTAAAATAGCTCGCGCATCTCTTATGGTCCGACGAAGCGTGGTCACCAAAGTCTATCTCGACTCTGTCGTCGCGCTTCGTCGGGTTGGACAACGACCTCACGGTTGACCAAAGCTTGCTCACACCAGAGACGAAGTTGCAGGTCTTCAAATGCTCTTCCCATTTCTTCCGCTTATGTACGTTCACAAGTTGCCGAATCTCCGAACTGAGATCCCTAATACGGGGATTTCCGGGATCGGCCTGACGAAGGTTGTCGCGCTAGTTATGAGTCCTTGTTAGGAATTAAAAGTACACAAGAGATTATTTCAGTCTCGTTTTATTTCCAGAACTGTTTTCCATTTTTACACTTACATCTATTTATACTATTTCTAACTATTGTTTGTTTGGTGATAAAAAGATGTTTACATGTTTAGCATTATGTTATCATAATGCTTTGTTACTTATCACCGAATATAATTGTTTATGTTATTAAAAAGATGTTTACAGGTTTATACTTGTCTATCGTATTCTCTTTGTTATTATGTTATCATACAAGGTTAAAGGGCATATAGTTGTTTGTATGTATTTTGGTTCGTGAATAATGATTATATGTATATGTGTATGTATCTAGTGTTTAGGTTAGCGTCGTTAACTCGCTCATCAGCTAGAACAGCCGCTTCGGCAGGAAAATTCGGACGTGGATCCTTAATACATCCTGCTGGAATGAAGCGCGCTGCAGCGGCGGTGACAACCCTGCGGAACTTACGCTCACCTGCATGAACGTCGGTTGGTATGGGTAGTGCAGTGAAGGCGCCCTCAGTAACATCCGTGAAGCCTTTCCAGTCAGCTTTGGAAAAGTTGATATAGGTCCGGTGATCCACGGAAGCAAAGT